GAGAGAGAGAGAGAGAGAGAGAGAGAGAGAGAAGAACGAGAGCTAAATCTCTCAGCTAAACACACAACAATACGACTTAGCAGAGAGCGGGCACTACGATAAGCCGCCACAGGGGACAATAAAGCTAGGGATATACCCCGAGTAAACCCTTCAGCAGCCGACAAGCTTTGCCGCGTTTCGCGCCAATGACAGGTCCTCAAGTCTGGAGACCCTCGCTGATATCACAGGCCGTCTGATAACCCAGCCACAAGGGCGTCCCGACGGTTCTAAAGTCATTACGAGAACGTTCGTGCGCTCTCTCGGTCAACAACTTGCACATCTGGTGGTTAAACAAGAGCGATGTTAAATACTAGTACGGTAAAAATAGTAGTCTTCTACATTGTATACGCAAGTAACCTACTACAAGCAAATTCCCCCTTTTTTAAAAAGTGTATGAGTTTATACGCCTCCATTGACACACTTTAGAACGTTTAGGAAGCGGGCTTCGACCCTGCCTGCCAGGGCTAACCCGGGCTGAGTGAGTGAGAGGGATACGACATCCTAGCAGAAAGACTTAAATACTCGCTAGAAATTCTCCCCGCACGGGAATCAAACTCAGGTTTTCTGTGCGCGACGGCAAAGAGCCTAACCCCTCCACCACAGACGCCGGTAAGCAAATGTATGTGTATAAATCAGGGATATGGGCTTCATCAACGTTTTTGCTTGGTTAGATTGGAGGAACGAAAAGATGCTATAATAGTCATTTAGTACTAGGAAAAAAGCAAGATTGATGACAGACATAGGGACAACAGCAGGAGAGTAAAGAAATGGCTTCAGAGAAAAGAATTGAAAGACAAATCGAAGAAAAGGAGCACCTAAACATACATTGTATAGCTGGAGCATCTATAAATAAACTATTAGTAGGTTCGGAGAAAAGAAATGAAAGACAAAAAAGAGGAGGAGGCTAAAACAGCACCTGAACATGAATAGCTGGTGCATGTATGAATAAATTATCCACGGCTAAAGTTACGGTTGTAAAACGCCTGCCTTTGAAGCTATTGTGAAAGCACAACCCTGTTGTTTAAGTGCAGAAGCGTTGCATGCCGTTGCTCATGGTCTCCGAAAGCATTAAAAAATAAAATCAACAATTGAATTGGGCGGGGGGTTGGGGTTTGTTTGTTTGTTTGTTTGTTTGTTCGTTTGTTTGTTTGTTTGTTTGTTTGTTTTTGGGGGGTTGGGGTTTTTTTTCTTAAATTGCGTTTTGCAGATAGAATAAATGGCGAATCGATATAATTATAGGGCCTACGA